GTGGGGGCAATATGCTAACTCTGTAAACCGCTTAGAGAGGGCTGAAAGCCCTATGAAGCGGTATATAAGTCTAACTGCTATTGCTATTGCTATAAAATCTTCCCCATGTCTTAAAGTACTCCGATTCCTCTTTAACCTTTATTTTCACTAAATGAATTGTTGTAGGTGGAGAACTAGCTGTAGGCCTCATACATATTTACCTCTCCTTGAAGCCTCTGGGGCTTTTTTTCCTGTTTTCAAACAGCATAGAAACACACCCTTATTTTCATATGTAAATGTCTTTTCTTTTGTATCGCAAAACTTTGTAAGCGGGGATGGCAAGGAATAGCAAAGGGAATAGATATCATTGTCTGGAACGTTTGCAGCTGCTGAGCAGAAGGGATACATGCACCGCAAGGAAAATGAGAAAAATTCCTTCTAATGTGAAAGGGGGAAAAAAATATATCTTTATTCCATTGTCTTTGAAAGCAGAACTTTCCTGGGTGAAAATCCTGCTATCAGCCAGCTGTTCACCACAACAATGATCTCATTACAAACAGGCTCTTTTATCTGTTGGCACAGACTGGGAAATTTTGTGGGGGTTTTTTTGCTCGCCGAGATGTCCTTTCCTAGGCGGTCCTCGAGTTATGACTGTTTATTTTGCAACTTTTCAAAGTTACAATGGCACCGAACAAAAAGATTTGATGGCTACCTTTTTACCCTTATGACCGTTGCAGCATCCGCATGGTCACGGGATCAAAATTCAGACGCTTGACAACTGACTCCTATTTACGACGCTTGTAGTGTCCCCGGGGGTCATCTGATTGCCTTTTGCAATCTTCTGGCAAGCAATGAAGAAACAAGAAGTTGTAAATGCTCCAACACTGGAATTTTTAAAGAAGAGATTGGATAACCCTTTGTCTGAAGTGATGTGTGGTTTCCTGCCTAATAGGGGGTTGGACTAGAAAACCTCCAAGGCCCCTTCCAACTCTGTAACTCTATTCTATTCTATTCTGCTCTACTGCACTCAATTCTATTCTGATTCTATTCTATTCTTCTCCATTCCATTCTATTCTGATTCTATTCTGACTCTATTCTGATTCTATTCTGATTCTATTCTGATTCTATTCTGATTCTATTCTGATTCTATTCTGATTCTATTCTG